AAGCTCTTCACGTGTGTGCCTTATGGCACGAGGTAACAAAAGATCTTCCTCTAGTGAGAGTGATAGTGATGATGATATGCCTTCTTATAATGAAATTGTGCAAGAAAATTTTAAATATGCTAAAGCTATTACTAGTCAACAAAAGAAGCTCAACGGTTTAAAAGAAAAGCTAGATAGTTCACAAAAAGCATACAAAACCTTGCTTGAACAATATGAGAACTTTGCTAATCTCAATGTTGAACTATCTACTAAAATTGAGAAGCTTAAGGCTAGTACAACAACAAATGCATGCACAATAAATGATGAGCAACTTGTAAAGAAAAATGAAAAATTAAAATAAAAGTTAGCTAGCTCACAAGAAGCATATAATAGTTTGCTTGCTAAAATGGAAACTATGTGCAAACATTATGATGAGCTAACTAATAATGTTGCTAATCTTGAAGCTGTGAGCACAACCCCCACCAAGGCATCTAAAAAGAAAAGTTCTATCTTTAACTTGTCTAAAAAGGATGCCTCTACTTCTTGTAATGATTTATGTTTAGACTCATCTTTGTGCAACCAAGTTTGTATTGAGAAAGTTGTAGATACATGCACACAAGAGGTTACAAAAGAGAATGAGCAACTCAAGCAAGAAGTAGCTCGCCTCACCAAGGACTTGACTCAAGTAAAAGGCAAGGCGAAGCAAACCCAACTTCATCAAGATAACACCATCAAGGGAGTGAAGAAGCTTGATGAAAGACAAACCGTGGTTTGTTATGTGTGCCACAAGGAAGGTCACAAGTCCTATGAGTGCAAGGTGAAGAATGGGGGAGGAGCAAAGAAGAAGAAGAAAAAGTAAACAAGCAAGCTCTCCAACACCTACATCAACAAGGTGGACAAGATGGCCTCCACACCATATCTCTTGAAGAAGAAGAAAAATGACAAGATGGTGGCCATCAAGGTGAACAAGCAAGCCAACAATGTGGTCAAACGCTTTTGGGTGCCAAAGTAAATCATTTCCAACATGAAAAGCACCAAAAAGGTTTGGATTCCGAAAGGGAAGTGAGAAGTCCGTCGGACATTGGGGAATATGGAGACTTGGCAAAGTTTGGGTGTATTTCATGGGGTGCATCATGAAGGACAAAATCATTGCCAAGTGGGTTAGTGAATACTATGGACCCAAATTCCCCTTCTCATGTTAGGTAACTAGATGTCATTACTTTCAATTAGTATTCATTTCAATTTGCATTGTTTTTCAATTGATATACTCTTAAAGCATCTAGTTATCTTTCATGCCTATGTTTGCATTTACATGCTTAAATCTTTTGTCATGCATTCAATAGGTATATCATATGGTAGGCTTGCTCGGTTTCATTGTCAACCCTTGGAGCAAACCTACATGGTTTAAAATTATTTAGAAGCATGGCACATAGCTTGTCCTACTTTTGTTTATCTAATATGTGCCAAAGCCCAAATTATAGATAATCTCTCCCGAATATCATTTTTGAAAATGATTCTCACATTTATGAAAAGTCATCTTTCAAATGGTATTTTGATATTTAAATCAATGTGTACAAATTTTACAAGTATTCAACATTTGTGTGCACATATTTAAGGGGAGTATTTCTACAACTTGGATGCCTTGAGACTAACACTTTTTCAAATGGTATCAATTTTTCAAACCTATCACATATGTAATAGTCTCATTGTAAGAAAATTGGAGTCCCCGGAGTTAAGCATCATTCTTCAATTGGCATCATCATGTTGATTTCATTTCATTTATATGTTTTCTCCATGCATTATATAGATTAAACTCTCTTGTGCAAAAAAAATTGCTATTTATGCATATGCTTTGCTTTCTACCATATGTATGCATACATTTAGGGGAAGCTTAGTCTATATAATGTGAAAGTCAAATTTTGTGATCCATTTCACTCTATACACAAAGGATCACGAAGTTTTGACCCTCCCTTGTGCTACTAATGTCTTTCTTTTCGGTGTTTGATGCCAAAGGGGGAGAATTTGAAGGACCAAAGACAAGCATTTAGTTACAAGTAGTAATGGTCCAAAAAATGGAGGAAAGTGAATTATGGGAGTCTAAGTAATGGGAGATTTTTTTTTAGAAAGCTAGGCTCTACTCTATAATATCACATAGGAACATTTGCAATGGCAAGACAAGCTTTTATGTAAAGTTTTAATTGGTATCTATCAATTAATATCATATAACCTTGCCCTTTGCATTGCATCCTAGCAAGTAGGTAGTTTTTAACTTCAAATTCTTATTATTTGCTTGCTTTGGTCGTGTTGGCATCAATCACCAAAAAGGGAGATTGTAAGAAAAATGGACCCTTGGCCCATTTACTTTGGATTTTGGTGTTTGATGATTAACACAACCAAATTAGACTAATGAATTTGTAAGTGTTTATTTTGTAGTTCAATAGGGTGGAAGACGTGACTTGGACGAAGGTGACGTGGTAATCCGATGATCAACACTTTAAGAAAGACCTTAGAAGCACAAGAGAAGACCCAAGATATCAAGCAAAGTCTAAGCACGAAGATTGGAACCAAGCCGTACGTAAGATCGCAAAGAAATGAGCTCACTGTGGTGACCGAATGCAGGACCGGACGCTGGACAAGCAACCGGAAGCTGGGCAAGTGGCTCGGCAGACAGGCGACCGGATCTCAGACCGGACGCTGGCGGCAACCGACCGGACGCAGGACAACAGCGTCCGATCGATTACAGTAAGGTTCCTAAGCGGCAAATCTACGACCAGACGCGTCCGGTGGCAGGCGACCGAACGCTGGCCAGCGTCCGATCAGTATATTGCCGGCTCAATGGTTGGGACAACCGGACGCGTCCAGTCAGGACGATTCAGCGTCCGGTCGGTAGCAGTTTTGCGAGAATTCGACCCCAACGGCTACTTTCTCAGTGGGGCATATAAATACAACCTCCAATCGGCCATTTGAGTAGGGTGGAGCTGAGGAAACATACCAAGGGTGTTGATACACCATTTTAGTGATCTCCACATACATAGTGCTTAGTGTTTTATTAGGTGATTAGCATAAGTGCTTTGCGAAGTGCTTAGGTTGATTAGACCACCGTTTATGTGCTTGCTCTAGGTTTATGCCTAGTGTTTAGTGAGGTTTGCATACCTCTTTCCACCCCGTGCTTGCGAGCACAAGTGTTGTGCATCGGAGGGGCTTGAAGTCTTACGAGATCACACCAACCGCGTTTGTGGTGTGGCCGCCACCGTGTACCGGAGGGAACAAGGCCCGCGGCGTTTCGGCCGGAAGCTTGATAGTGAAGACGGCGGAGAGCATCCGGGAGAGCCTTGCCGGAACGCACGTCGGAGACCCACTTGCGCGTGGGGAAGGTCCGAGGCTATCCACGGAGTTACCCGACCGGAAGCTTGGCCCTTGCGAAGGATTTCTTGTGAGGGGCTCCAACGAGGACTAGGGAGAAGCTTGCGCGCTTCTCGATACCTCGGTAAAAATACCGGAGTCGTTGACGGGAGTTTGCATATCTCTACCTCGCTCTTTAGCTTCTGCACTTACATTGATTACATTACTTCTATTGCGGTAGAGATAGCAACACATTAGCAAAACCGTAGTTGTACATTTAGATAGTTTATCTTTTACATAGGTTTTGCTAAGGGTAGAAAAAAGATATCATAGTTTAGAGTTAAATTTTTAAGTTGCCTAATTCAACCCCCCTCTTAGGCGTCACGGTCCCTTCATCTAGGACTAAAATTTAGCTTTTAAAATGAAGGAGCTAAAGTTTAGACTATGGCGTGTTTGAATTCATGGGCTAAAGATTAGTCATGTACCCTATCATGACTCATTTGCCCCTAATTAATACTCATGCATATGACTAAATGAGGAGGTGAAGATAATATGCGTCTTTTATCACGAAGGGACCACTTTTAGCCCTCTTTAGCCCCACCTTGGAAGGGTTAATGGAAAAAAGACGAGCTAAAGTTTAGCCTCTACTTTTATCCCTCATGTTTGGATTTATGAGGGCTAAAAGGTGACTAAAAGAAGTGGGCTAAACTTTAGCTCCATAAATCAAACATGCCCTTATTAGAGCCAAACAAGGCCACTTATGCTGAAATTTGGCTTATGCTGATATTTATGCTGAAATATCGTGGGAGAAAAATGCTGGCTAAAAGTAGCTTAGGCGAACAGGGGATCTCAAAGTAAATACCACAAAGTGCTGGGGTCAGATGAGGTAGACCGCCGCATCCGTGATCCATCTACTCCTCTTCCCTTCTTATCTGCTATAGCAATAAATCCGCCGAGGCAATTTTGGCGTGCTTTACTTACCTGCTTCCTATTTTCCCTTTTCTGCGTCAAAATCCTTTTTGTTAATTGCGAAAACGAAAGAGCCCGTGTGAACTGGAGAGGTGAGGAAAAGAGGAAAAAAGAGAGATAAATTGGAGGCCATTAGCAAGAAACCATGAGTTCTAGGTTAGCTGAAATCTCCCTTATCTTAATCTGTTCATCTCCTTGCGTGAGTCTGTGGTGCTAGTGTGATGCCTTCTCCTAGCTCATGAGCTTCCGGTCTGGAACTTGCTTATCCTTTTGAACTCATATTTATTTTTCTTCATTCTCCAACTGTTGGGTCAGAAATTCTGGTGATTTGTTGGGTATCCCCCCTGCGAAATCCGGGCAAAAGTGGGGATCTACAGCTTCTGTGCTTTGTTGGCTTTAAACCTACCTTTTTCTTGGACCTTTTACCATTTCCTTTGCCCATTTTTTTAAATCTCCCATTTCCGCCAGTAATTTACTTTTCTTTTCATTTCTACTTATTTCCATCTTCCATTTCTTCGAGAAATTTGCCGGCCGTAAAACTGTGTGTTTGTCGCGTGAAAGATCTCGTACTTGAGGAGTGAAGGGTTTTATGGGTTTTTTGCAGGTTTGCAATCCCTAGTCCTGACCTCACTTGAGCGCTCGTGAGCTCTCTCCAGTGGCTAAAGATTGCAGATTTGAGTTCTAGTCCAAGAAACGCGTGGTGGTCCGCCATGGAGGTGAGGTCCGAGCAAGGGCTGTTGGCGGGGAGGGATCTATTCGGCATGCCGAAGAGCCCGCCGGCGCCGGTGCCCGGGCCGCCGGCGTCCGCCGCCATGCAGAGCGTGCGCATGGCGTACACCGCGGACGGCACCGCTGTGTACGCTCCGGTTAGCTCCTCGCCTACGACGCCGTCTTACCAGCCGCAGGGCGCAGCCCACGGCGCTAGCATGTCCGCGGCGACGGTCGTTGGTGGCAATGGCGCGTCATCTGCGCCGGGCATGGGGGAGCCGGTGGCCAAGAAGAAACGCGGGCGACCAAAAAAGTACGGGCCCGACGGGTCCATGGCGCTGGCATTGGTGCCTGCGTCGGCAGCTACGGGGTCGCCGGCTACAGGGTCGCCGGGGACAGGGCAGGGTTCTTCCGGTCCGTTCTCACCGGCTGGGTTAAATCTGGCGAGCTCTCTGCTGGTGGTGTCGCCAGATGGATTTAAGAAGCGGGGCCGGCCTAAGGGTTCTACCAACAAGCCGCGCGTGGATGCTGCCGGTAAAATTTCTACTCCTATCATTTACACTGATTTTAAGGTTTTGGTATGGTTTCTAGACTCAGAATTAGTAGGAACTGGAGAACTACTTGTGGATAGTTTCAGCATGATATATCAGGATAGAGTTGTTATTGAGATTGAACTGGCTCAAGTGCCGTTGTCCTTTTAGAATTTGAATCTGCTTCATGGTGAGCTGAAGGATGTACTGGTTATACTACCCTTCTAGCTTTAATTAGTTAACTGTGCAAAACTATAAATTGTGGATGGACTTATTTGTCAGTTATTTCAGTGTACAATTTACCATGTGTTCGTTTTGAGAGTGGTGGCGTGTGGTTATTTCTCTGCTGAATTATGTAACATGCTGCTAGTTATTCTAAGTTCTGCAAAGCTGATGTACATTGACTCATTTTTCTGTTGATGATTTCAGCATAACTAGCCCTAACATGAAATCATCTTGCAGGGTCATCAGGAGCTGGATTTACACCTCATGTTATCACAGTTCAAGCTGGGGAGGTATAATACGCTATCTTGCATTTGAAAATGTTGATTGTTTCTTTTTTATTGTCAGAATATGTTCTTGCTTTTATTCTTCCTGGATTCTTTGCACTTGTCTACATTCTTTTGGACTTTCTCTTTTTGCTCTACTTTTCTATATATAACATTCCCACTAGGCAACCTCTTTTACAAAAACAAAAAAAAGTATGGTTTTTGCTCTACTTTTCTATATATAACATTCCCACTAGGCAACCTCTTTTACAAAAACAAAAAAGGTATGGTTTGTCGTTCTGTCAGTAAGTTGAACTGCCAAATTGTTCATTCAGACATTTAATTTGAAGCACTAAGCAATTCCAACTAAGCTATCACATTATGCTTAGCTGTCTTCCTTCCATGATTTGGTGCTGAAAGTAAATTCTGCCATTTTGACATTTTGTACTGTGGTAACTGATTGTTCTTCTCTTGATTGTTTGGAACATTTCAAGTTGTGCCCTCCCAGTTTTGGCTTGTGCATATGGTTGGCACTTTTTAGCATTATTGTTTAACCTTCATGTTTGTATATTTCATTATATGATGTTTGATGTCAAAGAATTTTGGTTTCTGTAGCTTTGCTAATTACTGGTACTCCCATAGCATTTTATTTCAGTGCTAAGGTGTTGGAGTTCTGGACATGTGTTTTCTGAAATAATAACAAAACAAACACACTCTTCTTTTCAGGATGTGTCATCAAAGATTATGTCATTTTCTCAGCATGGAACCCGTGCAGTTTGTGTTCTTTCAGCAAATGGCGCCATATCAAATGTAACGCTTCGTCAGACTGCTACATCAGGGGGAACTGTAACATACGAGGTTTGTGCATATGGCCAGTGGAAGCTAATAAACATACTTCTCGGTGAAATAGAAATAGTTTCAAGCTTTTAATTGTGAAGGTTCCAGATATTATGATTTGATCATGAGAGGTGGAAACCTCTGGTCTAGTTGCAGACTCAATCACTGTACAATGTAGATACCTGTATTACAAATGATTATAATTTCCTTTTTTCCCTGTAGGGTCGATTTGAGATACTATCACTGTCAGGCTCATTCCTCCTGGTGGAGAATGGTGGTCAACGTAGTCGGACTGGAGGGCTCAGTGTGTCATTGGCTGGTCCTGATGGTCGTCTGTTGGGTGGTGGAGTCGCAGGACTTCTCATAGCAGCTTCACCAGTTCAGGTATTATGTTTCTCCACTGCAATTTTCCTGCATTCTCTCGTTTTCTAAATGCAGTGCTCCAAAATGGGTTTCATATCATTGAAGTCTGAAATCACTGTGTAATTTCTACTGCCTTACTTTCTTGATTGTTGTACGTGTACGCTCAAGACAATGATGCTGATTATCTCTGCATATATTCTCTGCAGATAGTACTGGGAAGCTTCAATTCTGGAGGCAAAAAAGAGCCAAAAAAGCATGCTCCTTCAGAACCCACATCAGTGCCACTGAAGGTCGCTCCGACAACCGGGATGGGACCTAACAGCCCTCCTTCAAGAGGTACATTGAGCGAGTCATCTGGTGGCGCTGGAAGCCCACCACCACTGCATCAAGGCATGGCTGCTAGCAATAATTACCAACCGCCATTCCTGTCAAGCATGCCTTGGAAATGAGTTTGCAGTTTGCATCCTCTTGACCAATTCCAGGCATATACCATTATCAGCGAACTGCCTCGCGGGCGGGATGTAGCAATTTGCGGTTCAGGAGCGCTCATTCTCTGAGTAGCTCTATGTGGTATAAATCAGAAGCTTGAGTAGGAAGAGAATTGCATCTGGTAAATTTGTAGCTCTATTGTAGGTTTCACCCTGAATTCCTGTGCTAGGTGTATTGAGCTGTAACCAATGTGATCCTTTGAGCGTTATCAAATGTCATTTAGTTAAATGTTTTACCAAGGCATCGATCTGAATCAGAAGATTCTTATATGAATTTGTTGTTTGTGCCTGGCCATTGTTGCTTTGGAGCCAAGAGGCTTTGTGTGTTTTTTTTTTTTTTGGACAGCCCTCACTGAAATTTGAGCCTTTTCCCTTGTGGCAAGCCTTGTTTGCGCCTGACCGTTTTTTGCTTTGGAGCCAAAGGCTTTGTGCAAATATTTTTGGTCCTCACTGAGATTTGAGCCTTCTGCCTTGAAAACGTTTTGCTTCCTTGATGGTATGGCGAGCCATCGAAGGTTCCGTGTCAGACTGCCCACTGAGATGGCGTGGCTAACCTTGTTTTTCATTTAGAAACAAAAGAAGTGACCTACTGTTTATCCATATATAGCTCATGACTAGTGTGTCAACAAACACACAATGTTGCGACTTAAACAAGAGAATCAGATCAACTGGCAAGACACAACATACATGAAACATTCAACAGGGCAAGTGGCAAATGCTAGAAAAAACATTATCTAAGCACAAATTTAGGAAGCGGTCACAGGCCTATGTTTGCGGCCGAGTTAAACGGTAGGACTTCAGTCCTGATGTATGGTCGACGCTCAAAAAAGTCCAAGATGTGCTATTATGATATTCCAACATGTTCCTGTTTCCATGTAAAATTGATTCTACACCTCAGCTATTTCTCCGTCAAAGCTAACTGCTGTGATTCTGTGAAGTAGCGTCCACATTCGACAGTGTCATCTGAGCATATCTCAGCATAGATGGAATGTTCTATTTTTTCAAGAAAATCCGATTGACAACATCCAATGGCAGTGCATAGGCAGGATCCAAAGGCTTCACCCCAGGGTACTCCATTAATGAAAGCCCTGCTTGCAAGAGAGGCTAACTGATTCAGCAAATAGTTCATAATCTGTTCCATTTACCTGCCACACAAAGATTCTTATAATAAAAATACCACAGTGTTATGGGAAGAAAAGCAGCACCTGCAATTCCAAAGTATGTGTGATAGATATCGACTGCATTATCTGGTCTATCTGAAATGCCACCATTCTCTTTGTCCTTCAGATCAACATGAATGAGAAGAGTTGGAACCAATATTTATAAGTCAAGGGACATACAGTTATCCACATGGGCGGTAGTGGGAATAATTACCTGACAGTTTAGTATGAATTTAGTTAACTTCTCCTTGTCAATCCAATGCACTCTATCAATCATTACTAGGCTTGATAAAACCCACCATGAGTAGCAAACCTTGAGAATTTGGAACGGTTCAATTAAATCCATAGTGGCAACATGTATTGAAGAATGCAAAGCATACACGACTTATGACAAAGTAAACCTCACATCAGCTAGTTTCTCAGGCCGCCCATTAAGTCCTCCATCTTTACACTGGCGCTCACAGAGCCACCATCCGAGGAGATCTCTATCAATGTGTTGGAGAGAACCGGTGATTGCAAGTGCACCGACACAACAAAATACTGCATGCAAATGCATATGGTGTTCAGGTTACCTGAACCACTGTTAAAGCGATAGCTTGCAGAAAATACTTGAGTTTGGACTTGAAATAATCACATTCAGCAAAGGTAGTTTCAAGCTACTAGGCAGCTAGTCTTATGGTGATACTAGAGTAGGTCAATTAAAATGTCATCAATAACCAAACGAAGTTGTAGTGCTACAAGCCTACAATAGTACAAGTCAGATTATATGTAAAAAAAAATAGTAATATTCCTTTTAAAAAGAGTCTACTGCATTCCGTAACCAGTTTGCCCATTCTCATTCTTTGATAAAGCATCCTCTAGAACCAATAGATTAAATACCAGTTGCATTCAGAAATACCACAAAGCAGATTTTTTAATGAAGTCAAGGTATAAGACATACTTTGTCCAGCATGAGATTCCCCTCCTGGCATAGCACCAAATCCACCATCCAAGTTCTTACAGCTAACAATGAAATCGACAGCTTTTTGCACATCGATTTTATGCAGACGGTGCAGTAATGATAAGGTGCATAGGGCAATATACGAGAACCTACATACAGAAATAAAAAGCAACATCTGACATGGATTATTATGTTGGGACCTTGAAATTGGGAACACATAAAAGGTTTTTACCTAGTGTCAACTTCACCCCAAATATCGCCAGAAAATGATCCATCCTTGTTTTGCAGTCCGGCGACATCTGTCATGATTTAGATAAGGAAAAGGAACTGGATTTCAAGTTCAGTGAGCTTAATAATAAAACCAAGGTTACAGAATTCGTTTTGCTCATTAGGACATTGGTAATCTCAAGTTTACATACACCAACAGCATGAACCCAACTCAAAATCTGGGAAAAGGGATACAATCAGCAACCTTGTCGACATCAAGGACATCGAGCCGATCGAAGAGGCAGAGGACCTGCACGGCGCTAAGCGTGTAGAGGACATGCGGATCGTGCCCAACGTTTCCTCCAAATCCGCCTGCGCAGCCACATACAGTCCAAGCAGACCACACATACGAATCAACAACCTAATTCTCCACAGTACAATTCACCGCAGGGGTTGAGGTACCAGATTCGGGGTGGTAGCAGGACATGATCCAGTCGACGACCTCGGCGGCGTCGACGGCGTGGAGCTTGTGGAGGAGGTCGAGCGTGGTGAGGCCCCAGTAGGCGCCGTTGAGGCGGATGTGCTCCATCACCAACGACTCGAACGAGTCCTTCTTCTGCGCCGACGACAACAGCGGGCGTTGGAAAGCGGACGGAGGAGTCGAGGGGGCGTAGGGCGGGAAGGGCGCGGTGGCCGCGCTCGTTACCTTCTCCACGGTGACGATGTAGCGGACGTGCTGGTCCGCCGCGAGCTCGGCCTCGTCCGCCATGGCCAATTTCTGCTCCGCTCGTACTCCTCCTTCCTGAACTGACCAGTCTTCGCTGATTGAATCCTGCTGGGATGAAGGGAGCTGCCGCCCGCTGGCCGATTTGATGGTGAGGCGCCTAGCGCTGCGCGGTGCAGGGGCACCAGGCTGCAACTGCAAGGGGCCGGGATCTGGGAGGGGTGCCGCCAGACTACGTCGCCGCCGGCCGCCGCTGGTCGTACGCCTGGCGGAGTGCGTCGGGCGTGCTGGGCGGTGGTGTGGCTGTGCGGGAGGCTGGGAGTCCGGGATTCGGGACGCGGCGTTGGTCACGCTTGGGAGCCGGGAGGTAGGTTGGGCCGCATCCAAATCGGCCCAAACGCGTTCGATACTGTATCCGATTTAGTACGTATCCGTACCCGATACGTATGGAATACAGGATACGGACGTCCCCTGAAGTATCCGCGCATCATAGTTCCTGAGTCCTCCCCTTAACTGACCCCTCCACGATGGCTAAGAATTTTGTGCCCGGGGCTATTTCCATTTCGAATATTAATCACATTAATTCCAACTCAAGCGGGTATGTGTAAATAGTACAGTAGCAAGAAAACTGTCAACCATCCAAATTGGTAAGGATAACAGCAACTCCAAGAGACTCTTATACCCTTCCTAATTTGTTAGGAATAGAGATTTTTGCCCCGTACGCGTGCCCTTAAACCCGGCTTAATCCGCTTATTTTTTTCATCCGAAACAGTGTTTTTCTCAGACAGATTCCTCCAGCATTCCTCCAAACCATCCAGATTCCTCCAAAATTCAGACAAGCGAACAGGCCCTTTGATGACAAAAAAAACTACTCCAACAGCTTTTTTATTTGGTTATCCAACTAAACCATCTTCTCTTCCAGATTTCTCGCTAGCCAAAAATAGAAAACAAGAATGGCTCTCTAGAATGCACACAAGATATGAAAAAACTATTGGAGAGCGAAAAGATATAGAAAATTATTTTTATGTAAATGGCTCTCCAAATGATGATTTAGATAGTGAGATTTAGAAAGACTCTTGGAGATGCTCTAAACAAGCTTAACCATTTTCGTTTCCACAATTGATTACGACAAAAAAATAGAAATGAAAACAAGATTCCGGAATATGGAAACAAACAAATACAGGCAGGAACTAAAAACTTCTTTTAACGCAAATGACAGGAGCTCTACATTTCAATTAGATAGAGAGATACAAACAACCCAAAAACAATGAAGAGGCAATGGCCAGCTTCTACACTACAACACTGAAACATGAAGAGCCCCAAAGGCTGAGAAACCTCCCCTGAACACATGGATACACTAAGCAAGAAAAACAAAAATTACGGCAGATTATTAAAAGCCCTTTTGCACTAAGAAATGTCTTCCTTCACTTTTAGAGCTACTTGCTGCGTTATTTGGGACATACTGTCAAAGATGCTTTGGTTATGTTATTTTCATATATTACACATGATATACATGGCCATACCACAAAAATTACGCCTCTTGTCTTTTGGGATCTCACACGTGTTTTCTCCCACCAACCACTGGTTGGGGTGCTCACATCCGAAAGCACAGGTAGCCTCATCCCGGAGATGCTCCCATGTAAGAACATGATTTTAGACCGCAGCAAAGATGTCTTCCAGTCTCAGAGGCCCCATTACACAACACACATACGTCATGGTGGGCTAACCCTTAATGCCAATTTTTTCGCGGTTAGGAGGATTTTATCTTGCACTAAAATCCAAGTGAAGAACTTGTATTCGTTTTCCGCATGTGTTTTTCAAATTAAGTTTAGTTTGTGACTAGATTAGGAGCCTTGAATCGCGCCTTGTATGCCAACTGAGTGGGAATATTGCCCATCAGTCGTCCATCTCTAGGTGATGGAATCTCGGACTCTAACGCCCTGCTCGCTTGGCTTATAAGCCGTACTTTTTTCAGCCAACGAACAGTATTTTTCTCTCACAACAAATTAGCCAACAGTATTTTCAGCTATGGCTTATCAGCCAAACGAACAGGGCATAAGCTGTAGATGCACGTCTTGCAACCGAATTCCCAAGGCAACAAATTCTTCGATCTGAACTGTGGTTGTTATTTTGTTCCCTAATTCTTGTTCCACTAAAACTTAATATGCCAACATATTAGGAGCCTTATTATGCCTTATTACATCCTAGCTAAGATTATTAGGAGCCTTATTAAAGTGCCTTATAACTTAATATGCCTTAATATGCCAAGATTATGACTTAATATGACTTATAACGTCCTAATATGCCGACATATTAGGAGCCTTATTAAAGTGCCTCATGGGCTTCTTGAGGCCCTCTCAGAAGGAGTTTTCAAATACTTTGATTAATACTTATCATAAAAATCTAATGTTCAAACGTTACTTCTTCTACTCCTTTGTCCCTAATTTTCATTAAAAAAACAAGATGAATATGGGAAATAGGATATCAGAAAAAAAAATGAAAGCACATCATTTCGTTATTACCATATTTTTCATAATTATGAAAATGGATGGGGCGGGCAAGTATGGAGAACAGGACGGAACGGGATTTGTAATGTCCATTTTCATCCCAACAAATTAGGGATCAATTGGTCAATATAAACGGTCATTTTCTAAACTTCAGGGCGAATATTCGGTAATCGTGATCCGAAACAAGGGGTTTTCTGCAACTGATGGGTCCCGGTCCCGGCGAAGGCACTCGCCGCGCCGGCGACCACCGCGGGGCACCGCCACCGTGCAGGCGTGCCCCCCGCAGTCCCGCACTCTCCGACTGCCATGCCGCTCCGTCAACAGCTCAGGCACGTTGCTTTGACCGCGGGATCCCGTGAGGGCGGCAGGGAAAACAGGCCTGATGGGCTGGTTCTTTTGGGCTTCGACCGGTGTGCGCCGACCCTGGCCCACCTGGACTGTAGCTGGTCGTGGCCCGGGCCGTCGCCGGTGGCAACCGAGCTGTGTGCCACACACAGACACAGCAGCAACGCTGCAATTGTGCAATGCAGAGTTTCTTGCCAAGATTCAAGCATGGTGGTTCTGGTTCCCATCGGACCTGACCGACGAACCATGCATGCCATGGCACCGGCCGGCTCAGTTTTTGGCAAGATTCAAAACATTTTACACCTGCTTAAGGTTGCAGCCTCGCCATTTGTGGATACTACTGCACTGCACGCAGCCATACATTACATCTAGAGCTAGCTCTTGCAGCCCCAAAAGAAAGAGAGAGCAGAGAGAGAAGTTAAAATGCCATCGTTGTGTACAATACACGCGGAACGTACGTCTTGATGCACGTTCCCAAACCCAAGCAAGCCAAGCACGCAAAGAGAAAAGAAGCTACTACTAGCTAGAAGGATCCAACTACAGCTAGTCCCCAGCTTTGTGAAGGTACGTCCTCCATCTGTACTGCAGACCACCGGCCGGGCGATCGAGATCTCGAGATATATGGTGGAGGTGGCCGGTGAGACTAGCGATCGATCGAGATGCTAGTAGCTGCTGCATGATGCATGGATGAGCAGATACTGGAATTGATCAGAAGAAGGCGTAGGAGTTGTTGAACATGAGGGTGGTGGCGGCGTAGGCGCTGAGCAGCTCGTTGTGCGGCGACCATGGCTCGGCGCGGAGCCCCACCCGGCGGAGCGCCTTGAGGATCTTGCTCCGGTTCACGCACCCCGTCACCACCACCTTCTGCAGGCTCGCCTCCACCTCCACCCGCTCGATCCCTGCATGTCCATGATCTACGACGTCAGGGGGCAGGCTTTGGGTAAAGAAGAAGGAGCTAAAGGACGTTCATAATTCAGATCTAGCAGCTAAATGGACATGGACGACGACGGCAGCAGCAGCTACTGTCGATCGTACTGGAAATGATCTGCCAGCTGCCTGTATATGCCGGCCCCTGGGGCCTGGCTAGCTGGCTGGCCGGAATGGGCTTTATTAGCTGAAGAAGGCGCTCATCAGGTACGTACCTTTCACTTTGGACAGGCATTTGCGTACCCGCTTCTCATGCAATGCCACCATCTCCACTTTCAGCTCCGTGCTCTGCGAACGCCAGCAATCAGGAAATGCACACAGGATTGTTATTGCCATGCCTTTTCATGCATGCATGCATGTGCAGTCCTAGCTTAATTGCATCGCATTATTGCATTGCTTGCGAGTACATCCATCATGCAAAGGAAAAGCAACACTGCAGATTAAAGTGTGCTAGTATATATCTCATGATTATGATCATACTGATTCACTATTTCAGCAGAAGCTTGCACTTTTTGCTACCTGCTTGTAGGCGTGTACATCTAACGTCTTGTTGCATTGCAATGCAGGCGGCTAAACATGATCATGCGCGTAGTATATGTTGCTGCATTATATATGTACAGTTCTGATAGGATTAACTATAATAACCGATGAACGACAAAAAGTTTAATGTTGAGAGAGACCAGAGACAAAAACCAAAAAAGAAAAGAAAGAAAGAAAAGCCCATCAGAAACTAGTTGGAGTTCTTTATATGTTCAACATTAAGATCGTCTGAACAAATTCCTTTTTCCCCCGTTGAGATCGTCAATAATTGAACCCATAATAAAACATCATTGAATCATCACAACTTTACTATATAACATGTTAACACACACACATATATATGCACATTCATCAGACCATGAATTCCAATGAGATAGAATGGAAGCAATCCCCCATACCTCCATGGAAGATTGGAAGAAACCGGTGGTTGTTCTGTCTGGTTGATGATGCTATACTATGCTGCCGTCTGGCCGGCTTTCGATCGATCGGAGACGGGAAGGAGAAGAAGAAGGGAATAAGACGAGAGCAGGAGCAGCCTTCTTATAGCGGCAAGCAACAGCAGCAACAACCCTAACAAAAGGCCAAAAGATCGAGCAGGGGGCAGGATGTGATGAAGGGAAAAGGTTAAAGACGGTGCTCAAGAGATTCGTTCCTGGCTGTTGTTGTTGCAATCTAGTCTAAATATGCTAAGCTATAAGACCTCTACGACCCTACCTAGTTATGTGCATGACACAGTGACCTCCTCTGCTTTCTCAAAGGCAACCCCTAGGTCTTCATGGAGAAGAGCGACCGGTGGTCTCATCGATCGAGGCCCTGGCTCTCTTCTTGCTCATCCTTCCAGCCACTATAGTTTACTTGCCGAGCTCCCTTCTCAATGGTCCATGGCTCATGCATGGCACGAAAGGAGAGGTTGATCTCCAACCCTCTGATCGACTGCGGTCAGCTTCTAGAAGCGATGCCGCACATGTGTGTCAGCATTGAGTCCATGGTTAAGAGTGATTTGGCCGTAGAGGATCCTGGTATGGCCTACGATCGATGACATGGACAAGGACGGACGGACGCCATTGACAAGTCCAAGCAGCTCGCTTTTCGGGGTGTCGGGCAGAGGCTGGTGCAGACGTACAGTTTGGAATGTCTGGAGATCTGCAGGAGTGACCTAACTAAATGTGGTTACAGCTTACAAAAGAGCAAAAGCGCAAAAGGTTAAAGCGAGCCACGATTGAGGAGGTGAGGTGATGACTGAATGGAGAAGAAAAAAGAGGGCGACGAGACAGCAATATGGACCGTGACGTAAGTTTGGTATTCTTGCGTGCCCCCTGCTGCTGTGCCTGTCTGTCTCCACACGGCACACGCATGAACAGGGACAGGGGACAGGGGACAGGGGACAGATGAATCTTCCCTTCCCTTCAAGAACACCATGACGCAACTCATTATGTATGTACGCAGTTGCAGTCTAACTGCTAGTACCTGTTAACCTCTTTTTTTAGTTTGCTTTCAGTTGACTCAATCACTCAAGAGAGAGAAAAAAAGAAACAGGATATACACTAGTATATATGAAAATGGTGAGCTACCTCTCGCAAAAATAGAAAAGAAATGTGAGCTACTGGAGCAGGTGTATTGCATCACAGTGATCACATTCACATACAAATGCAATGACACCAAGGTATAGTATATAACCAACAGATTAAGCAACTTGTCACTAGCAGCTACACGGTTCCATATATTTATATCACTAATTAATTATATAATATTCATCCTCCAGATTAAACCCAGCTATATATGAGAGATACCTTTCCAAAACTTTATGCTCTGCCGACAAAACTCACTCAACTCTCAGACAGATTATACACTTGTTGGAGAGACAAAAAAAAAACGAAGGGGCAGCCTGCTGACAGGCCAACTAACGCCTATGTCGATGCATTCCTCGCCGCTAATTCAGCTGCAATTCTGCAAATTCTCTTGACCTGACCATGCATCTCTGCTAATCTCAGTAGCTGGGGAAGAGATCCTTGAGGTGGACGGCGAAGAAGTCATAGCCGCCGCCGGCTCCGGCGCCGCGGCGGCAGCCCTCCTCGTGGCAGTTACCGTCCACCTTGCGGAGGCAGCCGAGGTTGCTGCAGCTGATCCCCGGGATGACGTGGCCGCCGAAGTCGTCCCCGGTGGCGGCGTGGTGGCTGCACGTCTCCACGGTGAGGTCGTCCAGGGTGCCCTCCCGGTACACGATGAGCCCGTCCTCCTCTGGGCTGCAGTTCCGCATCGGTCGGAACACCTTGTCGAACGCCCGGTCGTGCGGGCTCGTCACCGGCATCAGCCTGCCACGTACGCAAGAACGGTGAAACAAAAATAAATCAATGTTCTCGCAGGAAAAGAAAACCAAAAAAAAAACGAAGACCGTGCATACCGAACTGGGCTCTGATCCCAGGCCCAACTACAAAGTGTCAGCCTGCATAACTTTCATTGCAATGTTTCTAAAGGGCTGGGCTGATCGGGCCTGAAAAAAAGCCCAACGCTAGGATGCCAAGTGCCTAAACGAGAAAGATTGCCTATAAAACACTCGTAATTCGTTTCCACACACAAAAAATCGCCTATTTAAACTCTTTTTGGACCATTTCACCAACTGTAAAATACTCGAAAACTCAGAATCCGGTAGCCTGTTTCTTCTTGTACATTACGTAGTAGCATGGCTGCATCGCTGAGAACAGGTAAAACAGGGCAGTACGTAGTACAATGAACGACAGACCAATTCCATCTAAGATGAAAGGTGAAAAAAAAAAAAAGACAGCGACATTTCACATTTCTGAGCTCATGCAATACCCATCATCTCCTCGATGATACCAAAGGGCTGAGTGGGCTGATAGGTAGCAGTGAGACACCGGACTCGGTCTCCGTTGGCAGCTAGAAAGAACGAACAAGCAGCAAGTTTGATGTGACAAACCGAACTTTACTATTTACCACGATCATGCATCTTAATCACATCACGCTAATGGACTGAACGGCCTTCACCTTTCATGTCAAAAATAAATAAATAACAATTACTTGCTTAAAACCCCTCCTCCTGCCATGTTGAGTTGATCCAGTCAGTTTCGCAAACGCGAAAGCGTGAGCAACTTGATTAGCGTCCCACCTAATATCCTTTCAAATCCCAATCATCTCAAAAAAAAAAAAAAAAAAATTTGTCCCCCTTTTAGGTTGCTCGAGGATTTCGCGGGGTTTCCTAGCGGCCGCTATCAGCGAAATTCGTATGCGATTTAGAAGAAATCGTATCTCTACTAGAGACCGGCACGCCGGCGATGTGTGTGCAGTGCAAGAGAGCGTACGCGCAACAAAAGCTAGGTGCCGAGCGGTCGTAACAAAGCTGAGGCTAGGCGTGTTCCTATCCGGACAGCAAGTAGGAGTAGGCAACAAACAAAGCACGGGAGCAGAGGCGGCGGCGGCGGCGGCGAGAAAAGTCAAACGCAACCAGGGGGTGTGTGGGGGGGGCGCGGCGGGGATGCAGCGAGACGGCGACGCACGCACCTGACGTGGAAGAGGTTGGAGACGCGGTGGGCACCGAGGTAGGCCTCGACGGTGCCGAGGAAGGCCTCGTACGTCTTGAGGTGGAGGCCGTCGACGCGCGGGTACGGGAGGCGCGGGCGCGGGCCCAGCCACCGCCGCGGGGCCGCCGCCGCCGGGCTCGCATTGCCGCCGCCCAGGAACGCGTACTCGCGCCACGCCACCCCGGGCCGCTCGCGGTCGTCCTGCTGCTGCTTGGGAGGCGCGGGCGCCGGGGCCGCCGGCAGCGCCACGAAGCCGGCCGCGCACAGGATGGGCTCCAGCTCGGCGTGGGTCAGGATGGGCCGGAACGTGGCCGTGTGCCACAGCGACAGCTTCTTCGCCACCTCCTCGATGGACACCCGCCGCTCCCGGCCCTTGCCGGCCGGCTGCGCCTGCGCCTGCGCCATGGCCGCCGCGCGCCGCGCGTGCGGGGGGAGGGGGGTTTCTCGGGGTTTATGGTGGCCTGGTGGGTGGGTGGGTGGATGAAGGAGACGGGGACAGGGCGACGACTCCTCTCGCGTTGTTTATGCGCGGCGCAGAGGTTGTCTTCTCGACGAATCAAATCAAAGGCGAGAGAGAATGGCAAGGTTTAAAAGGGGAGGAGGCCGGAGGAGGGCACCGCACCGCACAAGGGGGGCGGTGAGGTGGAGGAGACGGAGATGGAAACGGAGACGGAGACGGAGACGGAGCCGGGCATTGGGATTCTGTCTGCGGCGCTTTTTTTTTCTTCGTCATCAAGCAGCCCGGCCCGGCAGAAACGCTTGCCGTACCAGGACGCCGTGGAGAAAAGCCCCGCGTGGCCGCCTGGCGTGTCTCACTGACAGGTGGGGCCTCCCTCACGCGCGCTGTGATGAATCATGGTTCATGAATGCCCTGTGATCTCTGGAGATTTTTGCCCCCGCCCCCGTACGTGATCTGTAACAGGGGATGAACTGTGCCCTCGCTTGAGTTGTCTTGAATCGGAGGAGGGTTTTAGCGCGTCATCGTGTTTGTTGATGGACGAGAAGTGTTACCATATCGGTGATGTTTATCGTTATAGTGCCAGTGGTATAAAATAGGTTACAACCTTTAAAATGTATTGTACCAAACAAGCATATGTAGAGCCAACTTAATTATATTCTCAAACTGCTACTTTGTCGTTTATTGAACACGTCGTACCGCGTTCTCTGTCGTTTGCCATGAAACGCGGAAGCTCGAGCTCAGTGAACGCTGAGAAGAGTTCATTATGTTTTTAGCAGCAAATCACATTGTTATCGTGTTTATCAATGGACGACAAGTGTTACCATATCGGCGATGCTTACCGTTATAGTGCCAGCGTTATAGAATACGTTACATCATTTAAAATCTATTGTCACTTACCAAACATGCATATATAGAACCTATTGGACCCTCCCTCCACGAGGGGTGGTCCTAGTTGGAACGGCACAACTCTTACTCTCTACAGCTGCGGAAGGGGTTTTTATTCGAAACGGCGTCCAACTCAATTAGATTCTCAAGTAGCTGCTTTGTCGTTTATTGAACATGACGTACCATGTTCCCTGTCATTCGCAATGAAACGCGGAAGCTCGAGCTTAGTGAAGGCTGAGAAAGGTTCCTTCGTAGTAAACGTAGGAGTTGCCTTACTCGTAGGAGACAACTCTATGTACGTATGGGTTGCTTGGATACATGTCCGGAAATCTTGCTTGATCCTGACACATATCAATCTTAAACATCCATTTTTTACGGTCTCGGGTTAGATGCATCTGGTTGGGCTAGTAGAACCCCATACCAGATCGAGCTCCATCTAAACAAGCCTATACTAACCTTCATGTGCCTAGATAGGAAAGAGAAGGGTTAAAATCCCAAAAACAGGCGGAGCCCACAGGTCAGGGGCGGTGCACACTGAAATGGCGCAAAACCGCGTGTGCCCCTAGCCACAGCCGTGTTCCAGGGCGGCCCTTCGGTGGGGCATGATAGGGATGAAAACGGATCGGATACGAACGGATATTACTCATATTATATTTGTTTTCATATTTCTGTTCGGATTCGAATTCGGACACGGATAGCGTTCGGATACATATACGAATCTATTGACTCGCTTACGGATACGAATAATGAGTATCGAATACGGTATGAATCGGATTCGCATACAAATATCTATTCGATATTGAAAAAGCCATATATATATATATATCATACGTGCGCAAACCATTACACCACTCTCCCATAATCCATCTAGATTAAGTCGAAAGACTAAAGAGTAAAGCAACAAATAAGATAAAGATTACGGATACATCATACATCAAACATCATATAAGCACCAATCTTGGCAAGATGAGTAGAAATAGCCAAGCACATTGCTTCATGGGTCTCATGGAGTCATGGTCATGGATTCAAGATCTACAACTTATATAGGCCATTTTTTCATTTTGAGAAAGTTTGAACAAAATGTAGTTCAAATTTCACAAGTGTGTGACATAGTTTTAGAAAGTCATGTATGAGATTTAAGAATTTATGACTAGTGTTTGATAAAACTTTCTCAAATGGGAAAATGAGCTATGTAACAATTGTATATCTTGCTGAGATGATCAAACTTGGTATTCGGAGTTTTTTCATCTGAGGTCATTTAGTGTCTCATTTGAGCAAGTTTGACCAAGTCAAATTTGGTCAAATGAAAAAACAACACTTTGACTCTAGTATTATGAACTCTAAATGACTTCAAATTGAAAAGTTTTGAATACCAAGTTTGTTCAACTCATCAAGATCTACAATTCTTGTTTTGGTCAACTTTCCATTTGAGATAGTTTGGATGGTTCAAATTTGTGATTTTTAAATTTCGATGCTTACAAACTAGTTTTCGGAACCCTAGATTGTCTCAAATTGAAAAGTTTTGAATACCAAGTTTGTTCAGATCATCAATATCTACAATCCTTATATAGGCTATTTTTTCATTTGAGAAAGTTTGAACAAAATATAGTTCAAATTTCACAAGTGTGTGACATAGTTTCAGAAAGTCTATATGAGATTCAAGAATTTATGACTAGTGTTTGATAAAACTTTCTCAAATGGGAAAATGAGCTATGTAACAATTATAGATCTTGCTGAGATGATCAAACTTGGTATTCAGAGTTTTTTCATCTGAGGTCATTTAGTGTCTCATTTGAGCAAGTTTGACCAAGTCAAATTTGGTCAAATGAAAAAACAACACTTTGACTCTAGTATTATGAACTCTAAATGACTTCAAATTGAAAAGTTTTGAATACCAAGTTTGTTCAACTCATCAAGATCTACAATTGTTGTTTTGGTCAACTTTCCATTTGAGATAGTTTGGATGGTTCAAATTTGTGATTTTTAAATTTTGAATAAATATCCGGATAATATCCGTTTTTAAATATCCGGATATATCCGATACTTATCCGGATTATCCGATATCCGCCGGATATCGATGATATTACATCCGTATTTGATATCCGCCTAAGATATCCGTTTTAGTATCCGTATCCGAAAAAAAAACGGATATCCGAGTAACTATCCAGATAAGTGTTCATATTTGTTCGGTCGAACGGACGGTCGAATAAATATCCGTACCGTTTTCATCCATAGGCATGAGCCCTGTTTAGTTCATCCAAAATACCAACTTCGACACTATGCAAAAAGAAGATTCCCTGTCACATCAAACTTGTGGTACATGCATGGAGTACTAAATGTTGACGAAATAAAAAACTAATTGCACAGTTTGGTGGTACTTTACGAGACGAACGTTTTGAGCCTAATTAGTCAATGTTTGGACAATTATTACCAAATAAAAGCGAACAAGTTACTGTAGCTACAGTGATTCGCGAAATCAGCCGGCGCCAACTTGGTGACCAACTAAACCCGGCCATGGATGGAAATGGAGCGCAGGGCACGCGAAGGCAACCAAACACATGCCACTGAACCGGATCAGTTTCGCTTCAGGGCGTGTTTAGTTCCACGGGGGCTCTTTATGCACGTTCGCGCAATTAGTGTTTAAATATGGACTAATTAGGCTCAAAACGTTCATGCCATCAAACCTGTGAATTAGTTTTTTTTCCATTTAATGCTCTATCATAGGCCGTTTCGCATGTCAGTTTTTGGGATTTTGGGATGAAAGTGAACACGCGCTCAGTTTTGTTTACTCCCTCGCCACAAGTGCCCGGCAGCGACAATGATCCCCGCCTGGCCTGCACGCCGCGCCGCCCTAGCGTGGTCTGCTGCTGCTTCTGGCTGACGCTGACGCTCATGCTCCCCGCCCCAGCCACGGGCCCAACCGCGTCTCCGCGGCAGTTCTCATTCGGCGCCGCGCTCGCTCTTTCCTCCCCGGGTTTTCGGGGCCCTCCACCTGGCCCGACGCGCCGCCTGCCTGCTGCGGCGGCCCCGTGCGCGCAGCGCAGGCCGTCTCGCGTGTGGTGGTCTTGTGCCCCAACCCCGTGTCGCGTTTGCCGGTGGTGGTGCGCGCGCGGTTCCTCGTGTAGGGAGAGAGCAGAGAAAATGAGAAACTGCCCCAGGAAACCGCGAGAGGAACTGCGTCCGCCTTCGCCCTGTTTGCTTTGGCTCAATTTTTCAATCAGCGAATAATATTTTTCTCCAACAAAAAATTAGCCAACAGTATTTTCGGTCATGGCTAAGCGAACATGCCAGTGCTGCTGTGCACCTGCTGCTGGATTGGCATTCGCGTACCGGCGGCGGCGTACGTTCTAATTAACCATATGGATGGAAGTCGTGATCGGTAACCGGCTGACAGTAAACCATAGAATTGGGCATTTGAGTAGAATGAAGCCTATAACTATGAACCAAGGTGTCGACAAAGGCCGCGTCAAAGAGCGGGTTAGTACTTGCTGGCACCGAAGGAATTGAATACGACTCGTAGTTAAGTAGTAGTATTAGTAGTGTATCGTCTATAGATTTGAATAGAACTCATCACACAATTATGTCCATAGATACATATATAGCTAAAGCATGCACCAATTACACACGTGGAACGGTGCCAAAGTAAGGCAGGAATCAAATGTGAATAATCTGTCAGGGAGTTGATATCATCCAAGGCACTAGCTAAGTAGCTAGTGATTTTGACTTTACCGTTCGATGTTTATGTGTTTGTCTTTTATTATTTGGATACTTGTACAAATAGCCAAAAATATATGACGCGTTTGAAGTACTTTTTGATAAACATTTTAGTAAAAAACGTGAATGAAAAGTAAATGAAATAAATAACATCTCCGTGGCCCTTCACTTAATCATCTACTAGACAGGCTTTCTTTTTTGAGACAATTCTTTAATTTAGAGAATCCTTTCTCGTATTTTTATTTGTTTATTATATGCTTAGAACTAGATAATTTGACCTAGCACGCACTTAGTAGCCTTGACTGATGTCTATACATTTTTTTTTTTCATTTTTCTTAAATCCCTGCCCCATGCAAAACACTGTAGCAATGACTGGTCGGCTGGTGTTATGAGCACTGTTGCACGGGTGTTGTTGTCCTTCCTCCTGCAAAACACTATAGCAATAACTGGTGGGCGACCAACTGTAGCGGCTGGAAAGTAATCCAGCCGAACAATGCCGCTATTTTTTTACCACTTTGGAACTGCCACTGTTTATCTACTTCCAACTTATAGAGCAAATGCCATCTCTCTCATAACCATGCAACAAACCAACCAAACACACACTTCAGTGTTGAATCAAAAATCATATTCCATGTGGGTATGAATCTTGATGAAGCTGCATGTGATGAAGTAACAAAACCTAGACATAGGCATGTGAAAAAGAACAATGTGCTTTCGTGGGTCTCATTTTAGGCCACTGGTGGATCCAGCACTTGAATGGAGCCCGGACGAAGCTAAAGGCGCCTATAAGATGATGTGTTTTTAACCTTCTAGCAGGGCACAAAGCAACATTTTCTTCAGTGTGCGTGGGCACCGGAGCCTAGGCAGGCGGGCAGGGCCGCCGTGTCCTTGGTCCACCATTGTTTTAGGCCACACATTAAAACCATCGAACCAAATCAAAACCAAACTCACTACTTGTTCAGTTTGCACCACCAGTAGAGCTACCCTGTCTTCTATTGGAACTAATAGCCCGTGCCTCACTTTCTCTTAGCGTTAGGTTATGCTGACCAATAGAGCAACTTGTTTCACATCAAACCATTCCTATCCAACTAGCGTTTTACGGCATCTTACACTTTCTCTTTTTCTTACAATTATATTGAAATACGATAGTTATGGGTTTCATCCACTTATATATCTTTTCCCCATACGTAGGCCATGTGTTGGCTCGCCTGCTACTAGAATCTAGCGGCATTTACGTGTTCACAGCTCTACCAATGCATTTTTTCAATAGTGGGTGGTAGTGTAAATATCGATTGTTTTGGCCTATGTAGTAGGAATAATCATAAAACATGCATTTGGGGTGAGATTGTTGATTATTCTCACTAGAACCAACGAAATGCGCCCATAGCCTTGTTCTCTCCCTTGAACTTGCTACCCTATTAGGCCACCTATTTACTCTCTTCCTAAGCTTTGCAATCTATTGATCCATGCATGATGCTTATTCTCAAGCTATCTCTTTTCACTTAGATATTTTGTATCTTGACCATCTTTCACAAATATATCTGATGACATCCTTGTTGCAATGTTAACTATCAGTTGCCACTGTGAATACAATGTGCCATATAAGGCACATGTTAGTGTGGCAAGTGCTGTTACCACATCATTATAAAGGAGAGGTTGCAGAGGCAATATAAGGGGGTGTTTGGTTCACCTAACACCTCCTAAATTTAGTAGCTTTTAGTCTCTTTAGTAACTTTTTTTGTCAAACACCTTTACTAAAAGTGACTAAACAACCTTTAGTCAGCTAGTCACCCAAACCTTAGTAGCAGCTCCTAAAACAACGTTTGGACAGGCCTTGCCCTTCATCAATGCGCATCGTATCCCCTCACTCACATCTCACTCTCTCAGCTCGCTCACTCTCTCCCTCTCGCGCTAGCTCTCCTCTGCTTTCCCCACCGCCGCCACCACTTTGCTCCACGCCGCTGCCGCTCCTCCCAACCCCTCCACCGGCGTAGCAGCTCCTCCGCTCACCGCTTCCGCCATGGACGGCCACGGGTCCGAGTATCCGGACTATTACTCGCGGTCCTCTTCTCCGGCGGATCTGAATGGCTCCGGTCCGTCGTCCCCCCCGTCGCCGACGACTTCAGCGTCTTCTCCCAAGCTTCATTGTATGGTGCGGGCTCCTCCATTCGACGCGGCATGGAGGGGCTGGATCTGAACACCGACGCCGCCGGCTTCCCCTACATGGGCTCTTACCAGGGGCTCCTCCAAGGTAACTTCGCTCCCGACGGTAGAGGGCTGCTTCCTCTTCGCATTGGCGCCAGATCCGGTGCTGGAGGGTTCGTTCCTCCTCGGCCGACCGCAGGAGCGACCGGATCTGGGAAACGCCTGGCTTCTCGCGCTGCTGTGCTCCGCTCCAGGGTGGGAACCGACAGTAGCCGTGCCCGCACGCCGGCAACTAGGCTGCGTGGAACAGTTGCTTCGGGCAGCTCGGCTCCTCCAACTGAAAGAATGGAGCCAGAAGATGACGACGACATCCCGCACGAGGTGAGCTTGTTCTCTGTTCTGATTCGTACTTTGCTCTGTTTATTATCTATGTTATGCATGTCTTATTTATGGTTCTGCATGTCTGTTTTTTACTACATTCTCAAACTTTTCATTGATCTGATGTGTTAGGTTTTATTTGTTTGATGTACATATCTTTATTTGTCTAATCTGTTTGATCTACAGGTGTGTGTTAGGTTGTATTTGTTTGATCTACAAGTTTGTATGAACTACTACTGTTTAGTTGTTTGTTATTGAAGTCTGTACATGTTTCATGTAGTACTGTGCATTTGTTTGATCTATATCTGTCTATTTCAATTTTTGTCTCTTGTTCTCTTATCTGCTTCTCTACTAGTTTGACAAGGTAAATTGGTTCGATGCAAATACATTTGTGTTCTCTTGTCTTGCTGTTGATGAAATGAGAAAGGACAATTCAAGTAAGGGGACAATGACAAGAAGAGGTTATGATAATTTGAGAGATTTGTATGAGCAACAGATTGGCCTAAAGCATGATGGAGTCTCCAGTTTGGCATCCTTAATTTTATTTTTCTTAAGACCTTAAATTTATGATGAACTATGTAATCGTAATGGCAGATGGTTCAATGATGCACTTGAGAAATTTGGTGATAAGTTTCCACATCCACCTCTAGGTATGTATGGGCTTTTACATTTCTTCATTGTCTTTGTCATAGTATTTGTCATGTTACTTACACAAGTATTGTGTTGTGTAGACAAATTTTATCTTGTTGACTCGGGGTACCCAAATCGACCGGGTTTTCTTGCACCGTACAGAGGTACAAAATACCATGTGCCCGAATAGAGAGAAGGGCCTGCACCTAGAGGTAAAAAAGAGCTCTTCAATTACAAACATTCTTCACTTAGAAATGTTATAGAAAGATCTTTTGGAGTCCTAAAGATGAAGTGGAGAATTTTGTTGGATTTGCTTAGTTTTTCCATGGCAAAGCAAAGCAAAATAATAATGGCATGCATGTCACTGCACAATTTCATTAGACAGAGTGGTATGATGGATGACCTCTTTGACTTGTGTGATCAAGATGAAAACTATATACCAACAGAGGAAGGAATTTCAACTCAAACAACTAAAGGCACCACACGTTTTGGAGACGAAGATGAAAACATGAATCAATTTCGTGATTGATAGCGAATGGTTTGTTTACAAGCTCATAGCATTGCTATGGTTTATAATAATGAAGTTTTTTTAAACCATTTGAACATTATTTGTGAGAATGTACATTGCGGCAAACAACTTCCATAACAGTCAAGCTGAGCTGCAAGGAATGACGCTAGCGTGCAGCCAAGCTGTTTGCCAAGCAACTAGCAGGGCATGCCAGGCAGAGCAGCAAGCCAGACATGGAATTGGCGCCAAGGCCGCACGCGGGAGGCAACGGCGCTAGCAGGAGCCAGCAGCGCGGCACTATTGGCGCCAAATGCCAGGGGCATAAGTTAGCATTAATGAGAGGTGTTTTGGTCTTTACAAATATATACATGTCAGATTTAGTCAACTAACTAAATATAGGCTTACTAAAATTAGAAGGTATTTTAGCTGACTAAATTTTTAGGAGTAAATCTGTTCGTGGTAGATTTGTACGGCAGTAGCTGTGGCAGAGTCCTGGCTGCAGCCGCTGCACCGAACGCACCAGTAGTACTCCATATTTATCTTGGGGTGAGGAATCTCAATTTCACAAAAACAAGAGAGAAAAGATGTTGGGCCACGTCACTTCACCATCACCCTGCATCCCCAGCCGTCGCCACTCGCCGCCACTAACCCAGCCACCACGACCCATCTCATCGCCATGGGAACCAGGAATCTTACACGGAACTCCCCCGCTTCCATGGCGACGGCATCGACCACGCTGCTCCTCTCCCTCTCCCTCTCCCTCGCCCTCCTCGCCTTCGCCTGGGCGGCATCGCCGTCGCCGGATGCGGAGGCGATCTCCCGGTTCCAGGAGTACCTCCGCATCGACACGGCGCAGCCGGCCCCCGACTACGCCGCGGCCGTGGCCTTCCTCCGGAACCAGGCCTCCGAGGCCGGGTTCGAGGCGCGCACGCTGGAGCTCGTCGCCGGGAAGCCCCTGCTGCTGCTGCGGTGGCCCGGGCGGCGGCCGTCGCTCCCCTCGATACTCCTCAACTCCCACACTGACGTCGTGCCGTCGGAGCCGAACAAGTGGGACCACCCGCCCTTTTCCGCCGCCCTCGATGAGGCGTCCGGTCGCATCTACGCGCGAGGCTCCCAGGTGAGATGTACTTCCTTACTAAATAGATCGCTTAAAGCCGCGATTGTTGGTTGTTCAGTTTGAGCCGTATACACGTGGTATACTGCGCATCTTCGTAAGGGCTATTATTGGCGCCGCTTTGTCTCGGAAAGTCCAATTTTCAGTTACTGTACTGACCGTTGTCGACGCTTTGGCTTGATTCCTTAATTCGTAGTTAGGTCTGTGACATGGATATTCACTTGGGAGTGTAATCTACCTCGAGCAGGAAAGCGATCTTTATAATTGGATTTGCTCATGATGTTTTATTTTGTGGCTGTGGCTGGGATTGCATATAGATGCTTTTACTGTTAATGGCATTTTTTTAGCTGTGCCAAATGGTAGGATGCTAAATGCTAGAGATGTTTAGTTTATTTAGTACTAAGTGTATATTGACCGGCAAAATTCCATTTCAATGTAAGTGTGAAGTTGCACTGATTTTTACACTGAATTCACTAGGGTAATCTTTTTCACGTGAACAAGTCACTCTTAGGCTGTATATACATGTTCCCTGTACATCTCTTCCCGGAGTGTCCATCTCCCCTTACTAAAATGCTAATATTATCTTAACCTGTTTGCTAAAATCATTTTTATTCTCTTTGCTTTGTATATAGGATTAGCTTTCCATCATGCTTTTCATGAAATGGTCAAAAGTTCCAAATCTCTAAAAATCCACTAGATTTACATGTTTACCGCATCTACTAAATTCTTGGACTTCCCTGTGTTTTGTGCAGGACATGAAGTGTGTGGGGATGCAGTACCTTGAAGCCATCCGCCGTCTCCGTTCTGCAGGATTTGTTCCAGATCGAACTATCTATATAACATTTGTTCCGGACGAGGAGATTGGTGGGCATGGGGGTGTTGAACCGTTTGTTTCATCTAAGGAGTTCAAAGACATGAATGTGGCATTAGTCCTTGATGAAGGGCTTGCATCTCCAGGGGAGGAGTATCGTGTGTTCTATGCAGAGCGTAGCCCTTGGTGGCTTTCTATAAAAGCAATGGGCGCACCAGGGCACGGTGCGAAGTTGTATGATGGTAGTGCAATGGAGAATTTGATGAAGAGCGTGGAGGCTATTAGGAGGTTCAGGACATCACAGTTTGATTTAGTGAAATCTGGAGAGAAGGCTGAAGGAGATGTTGTGTCGGTGAATTTTGCGTACCTGAAGGCTGGCACACCTACACCAACGGTTAGTTGATAATATTTTTATGTTACTTATGTGCTGAGCTGCAGTTTTAGTCTTTCGAGAATTTAGCTGGTCTTTCACTAGATCTCATTAAATTATATTGGTAGCTTGATCACCTGATCCCGTATGAGTTACTAATGTGATGGTGTAGTTCCTTATTATCCTATGATATTATTGAAAATCAGAACAATCATCTGTTGTTATTTGGTATTTACTAAGATGGACCAATTGAAGGGCGGGCCTGGTGCAAGCGGTAGAGTCTTACCGCCTGTGACCGGAAGGTCCCGGGTTCGAGTCGCGGTCTCCTCGCATTGCACAGGCGAGGGTAAGGCTTGCCATTAACACCCTTCCCCAGACCCCGCACAGAGTGGGAGCTCTCTGCACTGGGTACGCCCTTTTTTTTTAAGATGGACCAATTAATATCTTTGATTAGGAATTCTTATTCACTACATAATATCTGTTCTTTGCACTGGTTTTGTTTAGCTTTTGGTCTTTAAGAGTCTTTGGTGTACTGTGAGTTCACTTTCAACCTATAGGCTGACAACCAACAAATGAATATGAATTATACATCTTCTCAAAAAATAGGACCTTATGCTTGCAGTATCCAGTCATTTTATCATTGCATGAGTGCTGTACTTAAAGTACTTTGGCTTGTTTTCATTAGGAAGAATGTAAGATGGCTCTGACTTGCTGTTATATTTACAGATACACATCTGAGTTTAAAATGGCATTATTCTTGATTCCTGAATTTTATAGCCTTTTGTACTTTCCAACTTCTGATTAGTGTATTCTTACCTATCTTACTCATCTACCTTGCATAAATTGGGAGTAGTTCATCATCCAATTAAACCAGGTCAACTCATGCTCTGATCCGTAATGTTTCTTACTAATCACTTTATCTTTGATTTCTTTCAGGGTTTTGTCATGAATCTTCAACCATCTGAAGCAGAGATAGGTCTTGACATCCGAATCCCTCCTAGTGCCCATGTTGAAGCACTGGAGAGACGCCTTGTGGAAGAATGGGCACCACCTTCACACAACTTGACCTTTGAGGTATGATTCCATAGTGGTTCAACTGATGGCATATATACTCTATACACTCTATACACATGTTAACTAGCTCCTCAATCATGTGGGGACAGCTTTTTGAACCAGTAGAAACAATGTTCACTTTCACATTTATTTGTTGAATTTATGGACAACAAAACGGCATGGAATTGAGGCAATAAGAATAATCGAAGAATTTAAGAATATTTCAAAAATATTGCTGCAGTTCTGTCATTATGGCTTTCAAGATTTATTTGGTATTTTTGCTGATAAAGTTAGTTCATTTAGATAACATGCTTCTGTTTTTTCCAATATTTCTGCCACGCTAATGGATTTGTATTTCTCAATGGGGCTCTTTTTTTTCAGAAATCTTTATTTCATTATATGAGATATTCAATTTTCGGTTTTTTGTTTTTTTTGCTTCTGTTAGAGGTGTTATTCTTTTGACTATCTTAGTTTATTGATGATAGTAGCACACAAATTTTTGAGTCTTAGTTTGAAATTAGTAGTTGTTCTGTTCCCGTTAAATGTTAACAAAGATAAGAATGCATTGCATTTTGATTTTTTGATGTCCAACACAAACGTTCAGTTCTACTTTCTGTAAGTAACTACAATACTTTATTATCCATACGCATGACCTTGGTCGTGTGAATTTCATAAAGTTTTCAATCATATATCCTGGTTATCTGTTCTGCAGTTTAAACAGAAGATGTCTGTCCTGGACAACTTTGGGAAGCCAGCCATGACACCCACAGACAGCACAAACCCATGGTGGTTGTTGCTTGAAGAAGCTGTGAAGAGTGCTGGTGGCAAACTTGGCAAGCCGGAGATATTCCCAGCCTCTACTGATGCTCGCTACTTCCGGCAAATTGGATTACCAGCATTTGGTTTTTCACCTATGGCGAACACCCCGATATTGCTCCATGACCATAATGAGGTTTGTGTCATTAGTTTTGATTTGACCATCTGATGCCATCAAGGTATATTCTTTGTATTTGCTATATCTAGCATGTTTGTTGAATCAACATTTTTGTATCATGTAGTTTCTGAGCAAAGATGAGTACCTCAAAGGAATCGGGATATATGAGTCCATTATCAGGACACTGGCCACTCATAAAGATGGTGGTAAAGACGATGAATCCAGGGCAGAGCTATGAGGAAAACCTTGACCTTACCTCGCCTTGTTGCGGACCAAATGGAGCACTGAAATCATGTTTCAGCATTATGCAGCTAGCTGCTCATGCTTCTGCTACAGCGTCGAAATGGTAGAACTGCAAACATCATCTTTGTACATTCTCAAGAGGGTTTATGCACTGAATAATTGAAATGACGTGCAAGTTCGTCTGCGCAATTCAGGGCTCACCCTGTTGCCACTTGATGCTTCAGTATTGATTGTGTATCAAACTTATATTCGCTGTATCAGTATTCAGTAACGGACTGCACGTTGCTTAAGTGCTTTGTGCCTTTGTTTCATTTCATATGATAGCATAACAGTCGATTATGCACAAATCCAAACTCACGGCTGACATGAATTTCACGGAAACTGCCCGCGAGGTCGTTACAGCCCAGAAATTCGTCTGTTTTCTACTTGAGATTGAGTTATTCCAAACCGTGTTTCACAGGCTATTTGGAACAACGGAACACAAATTCTGTAGAAACTCGTCTGCTTGAGATTGGCTTATTGCCACAATTCGTGGCTATTTAATAAACAAGAAAATTTCTGTTTCCTGCAGAATCCCTATGGTTCAGTCCTTCAGGGAGCCGGGCCTCGCGAGTCCTGCATTCTGCAGTTCTGCGTACGGCCCTGTTCGCTGGAACGCTGGAAGGGATTCGGAGAAATCTGGAGTGCGAGAGAGTGAACAGTGAATTTCAGCCGTGAACAGTGAATTCCGGCTGAACTTCCTACCATCCGAACTTCATACATCTGAATATCTGATGACCTCCTTGTTCAAACGCCTCCCTCGCAACCGCCTTGCCGCCACTCGGCGGAGCAGCCGCCGCGTCCACACACAACCGCGCCCGCACCCTTCCCTCGCCATCTTCTCCCGCCTCTTCATCGAGGGGCCGTTACCCGCCGCGCTCGCGCTGCTCCCTGACCTCGCCGCGGCGGGGCTCCGCGCGGACCCCGTCTCCCTCACCCGCCTCGTCAAGCTCTGCGTGCGCCACGGCACGGCAAGCGACGGCCGGCTCATCCATCGCCACGTCGAGACCCATGGACCGCTGTCTCACTACAGCGCCGGCGGCGGCCTCTTTGTCTCCAACTCGCTCGTCTCGATGTACGCCAAGTTCGGCCTGCTCGACGAAGCGCTCAGGCTGTTCGACGGAATGCCGGAGAGGAACGTCGTCACCTGGACGACCGTCGTCGCGGCGCTGGCAAACTTAAACGGGAGGAAGGAGGAGGCGCTCAGGTTCCTGGTGGCCATGCGGAGGGACGGGGTGGCGCCCAACGCGTACACGTTCTCAAGTGTCCTTGGCGCATGTGCCACGCCGTGGGTGCTCGCGGCCGTGCACGCGAGCACTGTCAAGGTAGGGCTGGACTCAGATGTGTTCGTGCGGAGCTCATTGATCGACGCGTACATGAAGCTTGGGGATCTGGACGGTGGGCGGCGTGTGTTTGACGAGATGGTGACTGGAGATTTGGTCGTTTGGAATTCAATCATTGTGGGTTTCGCACAGAGTGGAGATGGGGTTGGGGCGATAGAGCTGTTCACGAGGATGAAGGATGCTGGGTTCTCGGCTAACCAGGGTACCTTGACAAGCGTCCTGCGAGCGTGCACCGGGATGGTCATGCTTGAAGTGGGGAGGCAGGTGCATGCTCATGTGCTCAAGTATGATAGGAACTTGATCCTTCACAATGCGCTTCTAGACATGTACTGCAAGTGTGGGAGCTTGGAGGATGTAGATGCCTTGTTCCACAGGATGCCACAGAGGGATGTAATCTCATGGAGCACCATGATATCTGGTTTGGCGCAGAATGGGAAAAGCGCTGAGGCGTTGAGGGTTTTTGACTTCATGAAATCTGAAGGAGTGGCACCGAACCGCATAACGATGGTTGGAGTACTCTTTGCCTGCAGCCATGCTGGTCTAGTGGAAGATGGCTGGCACTACTTTAGGTCCATGAAGAAGCTCTTTGGCATTCAACCTGAGAGAGAACACCACAACTGCATGGTCAATCTCCTTGGTCGAGCTGGGAAGCTCGATGAGGCTGTCGAATTCATCCGTGATATGAACCTTGAGCCAGATTCAGTCATTTGGAGAACTCTCCTAGGTGCTTGCAGGATGCATAAAAATGCCAATCTTGCAGCATACGCAGCCAGAGAAATACTTAAACTGGAGCCTGATGACCAAGGTGCTTGTGTATTGTTGTCAAACACATATGCTGATCTGCGGCAGTGGACAGATGCTGAGAAGTCATGGAAAGCGATGAGGGACTGAGGTATGAAGAAAGAACCAGGGCGAAGTTGGATCGAGCTGGAAAAACATATCCATGTGTTCATTGCTGGGGGCTTATCACACCCATGCTCTGACACCATAGTTCAGGAGCTGAACCGGTTGATCGGAAGGATCAGTGCTCTTGGTTATGTTCCACAGACAGAATTTGTGCTGCAGGACCTCGCAATAGAGCAGAAGGAAGATCTGCTGAAATATCACAGTGAGAAGATGGCGATCGCATTTGGAACGATGCATGCGGTAGACGGGAAGCCCATCAGAATCATGAAGAACCTGAGGATCTGTGGTCTGTGGTGACTGCCATGCATTCGCGAAGCTTGTCTCCAAGAGCGAAGGCAGGATGATCATCATCAGGGACCCTGTTCGGTTCCACCATTTCCAGGATGGACCTTGCTCCTGTGGTGACTACTGGTAGGTGGTAGCCAGGTACTGTATGTTGTTCTGTTCCACATTGGCCTCACTTGATGAGGTTGTGGTTATTGGTGGCAAGACAACCACATCTATGCAAGCATTCTTTGATCCTTATTATGGAAGTGGATGCAGAAATGTCCTCTGTTCACTAGTGGCCAGAATTATCTAGATGCTATTTATTGAAAGAAGAGCTAGAAAAGAATGCTGTCTTCTAGTCAAAAAGAGTAAAGAAAAAAGAAGATTAGTTAATTAAAAAAAAGTAGAAAAAGGTAAGTAAAGGGGGCAAACGGAATTCATGGCCCATGAACGCCCACTGGGCCACCTCTTCTCCCTGGTCCACCTCATCTACGCTGCATCGCGAAAGACGCCAAGGTTTCCGGCGGCATCCACCCGCCCGTGGAAGCTGCCGCCTGCCGGTAACACCGCGCCGAGAGCAAGAGTGCAGGGAAGGAGCGGTGCCGTTGCTGGTGGGAGCGGTGTCCGTGAGGCGCGGCGAGATGTCTGTGCGGATAAAGGCGGTGGTGGACAAGTTCGTGATGGAGCTCAAGGAGGCACTGGACGCGGACATCCAGGACCGCATCATGAAGGAGCGGGAGATGCAGAGCTACATCGCGGAGCGCGAGCGCGAGGTCGCCGAGCGGGAAGCCGCGTGGAAGGCCGAGCTCTCCCGCCGTGAGGTACCGTGTCCCCGACCCCCCTCGCCTCCTGCTCAATTCTCTGTTCTATCCATCCCGCATCTCGTCTTGGCCAGCATCTTTTACTGTCAGCTGTTCCGAGATCACGGAACCGTTTCGATTTGTTTCTTGTGATATATGAATCGTATGGATGATCTGATGGATGATGCATATTCAATTCTCGCTGGAAATATGATTGATATGACACTGAACCTGCATCTGTACTGCACAGACTTTCTTTCATTAGTTGATGTCAATGCCCTTCAGTTTTCTGTGATGCCAAACAAGTACATTGTAAGAGATTGTTCCTTGCTTTTCACTCTACTCTAGTTGTCACCGAAGGCAGTGAGGGGAATAAAGCTGGTGTGTTTCAGTTCCGTAGAGAGTATAGAAACCATAGAAAGGTGATAGGTCGGGTGAAGATAAGAATATATAAGAGTTGCCTCTTGTCTGCAAAGCACATGCACTGATTCTATTGAGTAGTGCTAACCCATACTACACAGATTAGAAAAGAACATGTTACATTAAATATCCATATATTTCAAAATCCAAATATCCATTTTGACTTCTCAAGTAGGAAACATCATTGTTTCCTCTACAACTGTGCAACATATAGTAGTAACTGTACATGGTAAGATTTGGAAACTTAAACTGGCGTTTGCTTTGTATTATCTGACAATGTAATTCTTGTACCGTGCTATAGTGGGCTAGTAAATCATAGAAAGGTGATAGGTGAGGTGTAGCTGAAGAATTCTTCTAAGGAAAAGCAATGAATTGAGAGTACATTAACACTGTTGATTTATGTTATATGAGACACCAACTACTAGCACAGATTAAGGTAACTAATAGCAATATTCTATATTCTATTAAAGAAAAAGATGCAACAAACATGGTGCTGGTTCCAATATACTGAGGAACAAGGGGAAAATTGATCTAGAATTGAGATCTAGTTCTCATTTCTCAATCTCAACACATGAACAATATGAATATGTAACTTCTTCATAACTTCCTAGAATTCCATTGACGTAAGAAGCGAATTTAACTGCAAGACTCAACCTTTGAGCGTAAATGGAAGTCAGCCTTAATTATGTGATGGTCGATGATGCCTATCAGAAGTGATTGGTGATGCCACAGAGGAGTGATGAGAGCGGTATCTTCCCCCCAAGGGTCTACATCAATGTGGAAACAGGGCTGTAGGTTGTCCTAACAGTTGAGCTGCTCACCCATTAATGTGAATGAAACAACACAAGGCAGGAAAGTGACCCTGTATTGTGCAATAGAGGAAACAACTCCCATATGGATAACAGTAGGAGTGGTCTGCAACTAGGAAGAGTTTCTTCCATTCTTGGATAGACCAGGTCGGCGGATGGGGTGAGAAAGTAAATAGAGATAAGTGTTTGGGCCCTGCTAGGTAGGGATACAACAATCTTGTTTTGCGTAGAGAGTCCCTACCCATACTGATTCGATGCTCTGTTTCCAGCTTATAAGGATATTGTTGCTGTGTAGTGTGTGCTGGTAGCTTGGAGGCCTCTGCATTGAAGGACTTATTAGCTCTCATCTCAATTTTCTTCAGCTCATGCTATATAATTGAATATACCTCTTAGGTTGACGTCCAGCGTCACTGGAGACACCTTTCTGATTGCGAGCAGCATATACTTTCAATTTGTGGTCAATAAACTATATGAGGCTATAAATTGGATAAGCAGCAATCAAATGAGCATGATGGATGTCATAGTCATCAATAGATCAGATTTACGTTCAGAAGATAAACCTAATCTACTACACTCATGATGACACTGAGTTACTCCTATCAAGCAAAAGAACAGATAACTACACTCATGATGAAAAGACCATGATTGACAGTGAGGTGTTCACTTAGGCTATGGAGATATTTATCCTAGACTTTAATTAAATTGTCCACTTCTCCGACACAACAACATCCTTACCTGAATTCATCTTTTAGGTAAAGTGAAGACTAAGAAATAAAGACAATCGATCCAAGTAGTGGGTTGTAAATAAACATTTCCAATACCATGTCTCATAGGTGAACCAGAGGATCTGCTGAACTCCCACATCCAACTCTTTTTTCTTTTGGTCTTTTCCTTGTACCTCTTCATCATTGACAGAACCTTTGGGACCCGCAATTTGACATGGCACGCTTTTGTTTTCGTTTTTTGGCAGGCTGAGATTGCGAGACAAGAGGCGAGGCTGAAGATCGAGAGGGAGAACCTGGAGAAAGAGAAGAGCGTCCTCAAGGGCACGGCTTCGAATCAGGATAACCAGGATGGAACCCTGGAGATCACCGTCAGCGGCGAGAAGTACAGGTGCCTCCGGTTCTCCAAGGCAAAGAAGTGAGAGGTGAGCTAGGACAGGACGACACTAATGAATTAGTCACGGGTGGTAGTGGTACACTGAAATCAGTTTGAAGGCTAGTTTTTGGAGTATCTGTCGATCTGACACAGACTGCGGCTGTACGAGTTGGTGTGGTACTCACTGCATCGTTCATCCTCATCCTCATTGATAGGGGCATTGAACCAACGCACAACCTGAGCATGATTCAGCTGTCCTGGGGTCACTGTTCGTATCATGAACTTCAGAATTGATGACCTCTGTTTCGGATACAATTAAATTGACTGCCAAGCTTTGTGTTCGTCTGGAAGGTAAAATCCTGCGGTCTCTGTGTTTACCCCTGGGCCCTGGAACATGCTTGATCCGTTGTTCGAAAGGGGAGTTCGTCTCTTCTTCCAGATTGGATGTGAAAGCATAATGAGATATTGAGATCCTCTTTGACACGATTTCGGCTTCACTGAACTGACACAATTTAAAACCCTGGTAAAGAGGGCTTAAACTCTCGTCGTCTTTTGGTACGGTATAGGCAGTAGGTTTCCCCGTATGGGACTGGGACGTTGCGATGGCGACGGGGGGGCCCAGGTTTTAGAGCTCCTATCCTATCCTGACAAGGACCGTTACCTGAAAAGCCAGAGGTGTTTTGTCGAAGCGTGTGATGTGCTCTACCAATCCGTTCGCTACTTACGTGTCTGCAGATCCACGTGGCTGGCTCTGGCTGGCTCCTGCATGTCAACTCTGCACGAACGGATCTCCCTGCCCGCGTCCTCTGAAACTTCTGCAGCGGATGCGCCAGTGCGACACACACCCACACAAACTTCATCTTGCACTGCACCATGGTCGTCTGGCTGCCATGTGGGCCGGGCGCATCGGCGGTCCCACGCGCCAGTGGCACAGGCCTCGCCTTTTGTGTGGAGTGGCGTGGCAACTGGCAAGTGGTTTGCATGCATGATCCCAGGCCAGCGAACGCAACGCACTTGCGTCATTGCGTGTGCAGCAACTGTTTGTAGCCGAGATCGGAAAAGAAAAGAAAAAAAAGGGCCATAAACGCATCAGCTGCCGCCGTGGCGATCCAGCCAGGGGCACGGCACGAGTAGGATAGGACAGTGGAGCAAGTTCGGCGAGCAGGGTGCGCGTGTGGCGTGTCCCCCCTCGCTGGCGTGCTGGCGCGGTGGAGTGGTGGTGGTGGGGGCGGTGGCTGGCTTCCTGGCCCATGCGGCCATGCGCGTCTGCCGCCTCCGGCGAGGCAAAGCTCCCCGTCCCCCACAGGTCACAGGCACCACAGGGGCAGGCAGGGAGGACGCACCGCACCGGCACGGCAGGCACCGCGCGATCGCGATCGCGAACCGAGAACCCCCACCCGACCCACCGGACCCAGCCCCAGCCGTCGTTGCTGCGTGCAGCGGTTCGAGGAGGTTTCCGCCCGCACGTGGCCCCGCCGCCCCACCCGATGCCGTGCTGGGGACTGGGGGCTGACTGACTGACCGCTTGCCCATCATTCGTTCGCCTTTGTCAGGGCACGAGCACGAGCCCGGACTTACCACTGGTGGTGTGGATCATAGTTCCTCTTCTAGAGTTTACTCGTGATTGGCACATGCATTGAGTATTAAATATAAACTAAAAAAATAATTAATTATACAGTATGTGATTAATTTATGAGACAAATCTTATAAGTCTAATTAGTTCATGATTTAATAATGTGGTGCTACGGTAATACATGTGTTGATGACGGATTAATTAGGCTTAATAAATTCGTCTCGTGTATTACTGACGGATTCTGTAATTTATTTTTTTATTAATATCTGAACACCCGTTCGACGTCTAAAAACTTTACACCCAGTCCAGTTGTTCCAGTCTGGGAATGTG